AAAAATATATTAGAATATGGATATTTAGGTTCAATTAAATCAATACCAATTAATTCAACTAATTCTTTAATTATTTATTATTCATCAAATGGAATTAATCAACTTATTGAACAATGGGGGAAAACAATGCAGAAAGCATTTCAGAGAACAAATCAATATCGTTTAAATGATTTAACTATTAATTATCTTGGTTATTATACAGATAATGGAGCTTATTACTATTATCATAGTGAACCGAATATGAATTATGAACAAACAATAATTAAAATAAAAGAAAATTTATCAATTCCAATTCATTATATTCAATTAGATTCTTGGTGGTATTATAAAAGTTTAGGTGGTGGTGTTAAAGAATGGGTTGCTCGTCCGGATATATTTCCAGATGGTCTTAAAGGATTAAATGAAAAATTAAATAATTTTCCATTATCATTACATAATCGATATTGGTCATCCGATACAATTTATTCAAATAAATATAATTTTATAATTGATAATTCAAATTTGAAAAGTCTTCCATTAGGTAATGATTCATTTTGGATTGATTTATTTAATAAATCAACAAAAAATTTTAATTTAATATTATATGAACAAGATTGGATGAATCATCAAACAATTGATTTTATTCCAACACGTCAAGATTTTTATCTTGGAAGACAATGGTTAATATCAATGGGTTATGCAGCTAATCTATTTAATATAAATATACAATATTCAATGTGTTTACCACGACATGCTCTTCAAGCTTTTGAAATAAATCGTGTTACACAAGCAAGAGTATCTGATGATTATTATGTACATGTTGTAAAAAATATTCCTCAATGGAATATAGGTATATCATCAATGTTAGCTAATGCTATAGGAATAGCTCCATTTAAAGATGTTTTTTGGTCAACACAATATCAACCTGATGCTCCTTATAAATCTACAGTTGAAGAAATCTTACCTGATAGAGAAATTTTAATATCAACACTTTCAACTGGACCAGTTGCTCTTGGTGATGGAATTAATTATGTTGATAGACAACGTATAATGAAATGTTGTCGTCAAGATGGTCTGATATTAAAACCTTCAAAACCTTTAACTATGATTGATTTATTAATTAATGACTGGGCTCTTCATCAAGGTATTATACAAGGAGAACTTTATTCAACGAAAACAATTATGTAAAATTTTATCTATTTTATAATTAAATTTAAAAAAGAGTCTTTTGTTTTTCATTAAGAAATGATAAAATATTTTCAATAATATTTGCATCATCAATGCGACGTAGTTATTCAATAAAACCATCAATGATTGGATCACCTGATGGAATTATTTGGTCATATGATAATCCATATGAAATATATACATTTGATGATAATCATTCACTTGAGATATCAAATGAAAAATGTCATTTTACATCATTTTGCCTATGGTATAGTTCACCTGTTTGGATATTCAATGATTCTTTATCAACAAAATATTCTTTTATGGGTGAATTAAATAAATGGACATTTATTAGTCAACAAAGATTTACTTCTTTAACAATTGATTCTCAAAATACTCATATGACAATCATTGTTGAAGGTGTTGATAATGAATTTGTAGATTTATTTGTTTATCATTCAAAATTTCAATCTGTTATTCATGTTATTTGTCATTTTTATTTTAATCATCTAAAAGCTAAACTTATTATCAATTCTACAAACGTTATTTGTTCATAATATGTAAATAACTGATAATTCTTTCAATATAAATAAAGATTTTACTTTATTTTTTATTTTTTTTTTGTAAATAATTATCTGTATTATTAATCAATTGAAGATAAACTAGATAGTAATTGATATCAAATTTAGAAGAAAGATATTTTTATAAGTATATTAACATTTAATTTTAACATTGATAAATATATATATGGGCGTGAACAGTTACTAGGATACCCCTAATGTATTTGTTTATACAACTTCAATAGATTATCATGAAAATATGACTTTTTTATCAGTTGTAGTACATATGTAGTCCTAATGATCCGCTATTGTTTGAGCTCTATATGTCGCCAGGAATGAGGATTATTAAATGTTCTCTTATGATCCTTATATTAAATGTATTTTGCATTTAATTTATTAACATTTCGTTTTCGGTACATACTTATGCACAATAATTCTTCATTCTATTGCCTCTATGTACTTCAGTTACATATTTCTCGTTCTGTGTCTATCAGATTTTCCTCACTTTGATCACGTTTTTCTTTTCTTCGGCTTTATCTCACTGGTGTACATTCACTTATATTTTCTTTACTATGTCTTCTCCACGCATTGAATGGAGTTGTTCTGAATGTCGATCAGTTATAACTGATCAACGAAAATATTGTGCTGCTTGTCACTCAATGTTACGATGGACATGCCATGGTTCAGGAAGATCTGGCATATACACTAATTATTATCGGCATCGTGGTCGCTGCAGTTCGTGTATTGTAGAGATGGACGAAGATCAACAACAAGAGATACGAGATAAACAACTTTCGATTCAACAAGAATTTCATACGCTCGATGACAGTAAGTAAAATTAATTTCGCAGCTGACATTTGCGTTGGTTATTCGACTATTTTATGCTTTAAGAATATTTGGCAATTATTTCTAAAAAACCGCTTTTTTTAATGTCTTGTACAACAACGTCCATGGTCAGAATGGCAGCGAAGTGATGAATCTTGTGTGCAACATACTGGACTTGATGTTGAACAAGTACAAGAATTATATGATATGTGTGAAGAACCACTTAAAAAGTATCATCTTCATCGATATGAGCAACAAACAGATATTGCCGACAGATCATATTTATCTCCTATGAATTTACTCGTAGTTACATTATGGTACTTGAAGCATTATCATTCAGAACGCTACATTTCTACAGAGTTGAATTTGGGTCAATCAACAGTTAAATATTTCTTAACAGAAGTTCTGGATATATTACATTCATGTGTATATCAGGAATTAGTATCGTTACCAGTTGATTTAGCTAGTAGAAGAAGTAAACATGGACCTCAACAACAGTACAAGTTAATAGTTGATTCAACTTCTATTGCGATTCCCGAGCCTTCTGATTCAAACCAACGTAAAGCATATTGTTATGGAAAAAGCTCAACGAACTATGCCATAAAAGTCCAAATAGCTTGTGACTTTAACCATCACATAGTACATGTATCAGACTGTTATCGTGGTAGTACACATGATATTACAATTTTAAGAAATTCTGGACTGTTGGATTATGTGGAAGAATCACTTCAAATTATTGCTGATAAAGGATATATCGGTGAAGAATACGTTATTACTCCAAAAAAAAACCTCATGGACGTGAATTAACGGATGAAGAGAAGAACTTTAATCGCGATATTAATAGTGCACGAGCAGCTATTGAAAACATTAATCAAAGACTCAAAGTCTATACTATTTTGGGAAATATCTACAGAGGAGCTATCGATGATTTTCATAAAATAACAAAGATCGTGCAAGTTGTTTCAGCTTTATGTAATATCAAACTACAAAAGCATCCCATTCGTAAATCTACAGCATAATAAGTTAGTTATATTTTTCTAGTCGATTGATAATAAAAAACAGTCGAAGATATCTTTGTGTCATTTCAAATATTGCAGTATGAATAGATATATGCTGATAAATTGGATATGAAACACGTTCAATATAAGGATCATAAGAGAACATTTAATAATCCTCATTCCTTGCGACATATAGAGCTCAAACAATAGCGGATCATTAGGAATACATATGTACTACGACTGATAAAAAAATCATATTTTCATGATAATCTATTGAAGCTGTATAAACAAATACATTAGGGGTATCCTAGTAACTGTTCACGCCCATATATTACTGTCAGTCAAAATTCTGTGATTGTCACAATCAAGAGTATGCTTGTAGATGATGAGAACGGATGAAAGAAAGAATGAAATAGATGCAGACATATGCTATGATATCGTTTTGTAGATGACAAGATATAAGAAGGAATGCAAAAGCGTTAATATTCCTTTTACTCTCTATTACTGCAACCGGCCGATGAAGCATCTAATTCATCACAACGTCATATGCACTGACAATAAATGAAAAGAAAAAACAAAATTAAGATGTCTAAGTAAGTATTTTTTGATGATTTAAGATTTCTTTTATGGTCATTAGTATTGCTTTGTCTATATCTGATTTAAATTTCGCCAATATCGAATATGAAGATCAAGAAATGATTTAATAGAAAAATTCAAATATAATCGACATGTACGAATATCATCGACATTTGTTGTTTCATTAGCATGAAATTTAATTTCTAATAAATAATTCTTATTTCTAATAATAAAGGCGTGTATGCGCTCGTGGATGAAAAGCAGTACAATACGTATACTCTTATTTAAAATATAATTGGATGACCTATTGTTTGCAACCATTTCAACCTACTAATCACATAGAATTTTTTTAAGTTCAAAAATGAATAGGATATTGAAACTAAAATGATAACCAGGAATTATTTTTCCTGTGTCAAATCTGTATACCACAAAAAATTTTATTAGATCCTCAAACATGTATATATTAGATCAAAAAAACAAACAAAAATTATTTCACACTTAAACAAACATTAATTGCAATGATTACAATTTACTAATAGAACAAAATTTTTTTTTCTTTTTCTTTATAAGTTCAAAAAAAAAGAAAATAAACCAAACAAGAAAAACAAATATTCAGAAATGGATTTGTGGTCAAAAAAAAAGTTTGATGGGATCAGGCATGGAACATCTGTACTGCTTGTCCACGTAACTCCGTCACAGCGTTATGTTTTTGCTCATTTTGTTTTGACCATAACTCTGAAAGGACAAATCGTAGAGAGGCTAGCGATGTCTTAGATTAAAGACAAATTTGTTTTGAAGATTTTGAGATCTGTCCGAGCTCCTAAAAGTGTTTTCTCGAAAACCTACCACTGAAATGCCAACACCTACTTTTGAAAATCCATCGAAAAGGGTGGTGTTAGTATTTTGGTGATAGATATTCGGAAGCACATTTTTATGAGCTCGTACAGATCTCAAAATCTTCAAAACAAATTTGTCTTCAATTTAAGACGTCGCTCGCCTCCCTACGACTTGTCCTTTCAGAGTTATGGTCAAAACAAAATGAGCAAAAACGTAACACTGTGACACTCTGCCGCTAGCGTTACGTAGACAAGCCGTGTAGTTGATCTAAAAAAGGTTTTTTTTTTTGAGATTATGAATGAAGTATTGGTTATTGCAAGTTTAACTTACTAATGAACAAATTTTTCTTTTTTGTTCTTGATGAATAGGTGCGAGAAAAAGAAAATAAATCAAACGAAAAAAAAAAGAATTTCTTCTGTAATAGACCTGTGCTCCAATCAAAAACCTTTAATATAGAGTCATGAAACATCTGTGTTTCATCTAAAAAAAAACCTATTTTAGATTATGAACGAACAATTGTTTGTTACAAGTTCAACTTACGTATCGAACAAAATTTTGTTTTCTTTCTCATGATGAATAAGTTCGAAGAAAAGAAATAAATTAAATGAAAAAAAAATTTCTTCTGTAATGAACTTGTGGTCCATTAATAAAACCTTCAATTAGATGATGAAATATGTTCGATCTAAAAAAAATAAGAAATTATTCAAAGGGTAGCAATATTTTTGATCACCAAAAAAAGATACTTTTGACCACCAAACATTTTTAGATACAAATGATCACCAAAAAAAGATATTTTTGGTCACCAAATTTTTTAGAATATATCACATTATTTTTATTTCTCAACAAAGTAAAATACAATGTACAAAGTAATCAATATTCATTGAAATACTAACAAAGTAAACAATATTCTTATTTTTATTAATATGTATTTACAAATTTAAAGCTGTGCTAACTTTCTTGGGACGTCCTCTTGTTTTTCGTTTACCTAATGGTTGAATACGTGTTTTGTCGCTGACTTGATACGTGTTAAATATAATTGCTAAACCAACAGAATGTTTACACGAATACTCTTTGATGCCAATAAGACAGCTACATGATTGTAATGGTACAACTAACCAACATGATCGTTGTCATACTAAAAAGTCATTGAATGTAAGCCATCGACGAGAGTGATAAATATCTAACCAAGTAGACAATGTCATTTGGGCGTTAGATGATGGTACAACATAATAATCGCCATACCAGTAAAAAATACTATTGCGATCAATATTTATGGCCCATTTGTATGCAGCTAGTTCGCAATCGGATGTGATGGACGTACAAACAGAAAATGGATTGGTTTCGCAATCTTTCGACCAATCCTTGAGCATTGATTCGATCTTTGGAAGGAACGCTGACAAAGGTAATTTATTTCGAAGGGTATATTGCTGTTTGATTTTAGAGTTCATTGACTCACAACCGTTATTTGTGGATGGTATGTTGAACGCACAACCTTCATACCTAGAATGAGAAAGGGATAATGAATACAACAACAGAGCTCGTAAATTTTTATTACCAATTCGATAATTTTTCAATCCATTGTTCATAAAAATAATCACAAAATTTGTTCAACGATGGATCAGAACGCCATTCAGTCATTAGAAGATTTATTCCTTGATTAAATATTTCGTCGTTAAAACTTAATTGTACAGCATGAAGTTCTTTATCAATAACATCCCACTGTTGTTTAGTAACCAGATTTCGATGCATACGACATTTTTTTATCATGTGAAACCAACACATAAGCCGCTTCGCTTGTGGAAATATTTTTTGTTGAGCCGAAGTAATTCCTTAAAAAAATATAAAGTTGGCTTATAAGCACGAGATTTTTGCTCATATATCATACCTAATACTCCATCAGCCATTATAAATCCAGGTGAGTATGGTTTTTGAAGTTCTTGAATACTTAATTGTTGAAGTGATTGAAACAAATGTTCATAACACGATGAACTTTCATCATCGGAGACCAGCGCAACACCGAACGGATGAAAATGTCTGTTACCATCAGATGCACCAAATACCAGAAGTGGTAACTCGTTCCACGTTATCTTGTACGTAGCATCAATTTGCAATAGTGGAGTGGATTGAATTTGTTGAATTAAATGTTTCGTGGTAAATAAAACAAATAAGTCGTCCACGTCATTAATAAAATAGAATGGTACAAACGTCGAATATGGCACAGTACCATCTAGATGGTCATTACACCACTTACGAAAATCGTATACTGAGAAGATTTCAGGACGATCCTTTCGACGTTCGGTTTGAACTAATGATGTTAACTTGCTTGATGACACTGGTATGGTTGGATGATCAATTGCGAGCGATGAACGAATTTGAGGTTCTGTTAAACCAGCACGAACATATTTTGAAACAGATTGTCGCAGTGACGATGGTAAACGAGATGTTTGGTTACGGTCGCTATGATTGTGAGTATTTTTGAACATTACCGTAATTGAGTTAGGATCATCATCAGGTACAACTGCTTTGAGTTCATAATTACATGATGAATTTTTACGATATTGACTACATTTAAATGAGTACTTTGTATGATCTTTAAGATTATTTGTTCGATATTGACACACATTATGTGATTTAGCTACAGCTGTAACATCATCAATTGAATTAACTACACAGAGCAGAATCCAATTTGATTTTGACATTCTTACAAACGAAATACTTTAAAGTATTTATATATACGAGAAGCAGCAACAGAAAAGGTATGAGGAAATGTGAGTGATATTATGAAAAATAGATAATGAAATGTAAGCAAATTACGAACGAAAAATATATAATGAAATGTAAGTGAATGATGAACAAACAAGAGGTGATGAAAAATCACATCTCTATAAAATTTGGTGATCAAAAATATCTTTTTTTGGTTATCATTTGTATCTAATGATTTTTGGTGATCGAAAGTATTTTTTTTGGTGATCAAAAGTATCTTTTTTTGGTGATCAAAAATACAATTACTCTAAAATTTAATGGGCTACATTTTGGCATAAACCACTCACTATGATATGAAAATATTAATCAATTATTATATAAATATTAGTTAATTAGTAAAATTTCGCTTTGTTTTTAATTTAGAGATATTCCATTAGAAAGAACATTAAAAATTGAAGAGAACTATTGAATTATTATTTCAAAGTTGACTATATTAATGAGATTTTCACTATTGCCGGCTTTAACTAATATCCATTTCAAAAAAGAAAAAGGATGGATATGTTTTGAATAACTTTTGATAGAAACTAGATAGAGAGGTTCGGTTTTCATCGTTTAACAGAAGAGATGAAACGGCATCGAATCGTCTATATCAGATTTTTTTAAAACAAGTTTCCTCAGAGTCTACCATCAAGTTTGTTAAATACAAAAGATTATTTAATATAAAACTTTTACGATCCCAATTTTCAAGAGTGCACTAGAATCGTTAACTGATGTTCTATAAATTCTGTAAGTCCGATGTTGTAAGCTTTAGCCAATCATGAGTTATGCATATTTTGCTGCATATTATCGTGAAAAAATTGACGAGAGACTCTGAGAATACTTCTCAGAAAAATCTGATATAGACTATTCAATGCAGTTTCATCTCCTCTTTTAAACAGTGAAAATCAAACCTCTCTATCTAGTTTCTATCAAAAGTTATTCAAAAAGTATGCATCCTTTTTCTTTTTTGAAATGTGTATTAGTTCCAGTGCTTATGAATTTAAAAAGACTTAACTTAAAAAAAAAGAATTTTATATCTGGAAAACATCAATATGCCTTGAAAAGTAAGACTTATTTCAAATAGGAAGTCGTCACTCTTTGTGAAATGTTTTGTGCAAATATTGTAATTCTAAGTTTTAAAAAATAATTTCGGACATGATTTTAAGCTATTTTTCTATGATTTTTGCAAATCATAACGTAATAAACACTATAGAACTAGTTTAAATTGTAAAAGCTGAAAATCTCATTAAGATGATCTGTTTTGAAATAATGATTAGCTAATTTTGCTCAATTTTTATTCTTCATTCTCATGGAATACCTAAAAATTAAAAATAAAGCAAAGTTTTGCTAATTCGCTATTAATTATTATTAAATAAAAATTAACTAATAGTTATATAATAATTGATTAATATCTTAATATCACGGTGAGTGGTTTATGCTAAAATGTAGACCATCAAATTTTATACTGAGCGGTGTATAAGACAGTTTTGAGTTATTATGTGTTAACGAAAAATTGATTAAACATTTAAAATGTGCTAAACTTTTTCAGCTATAGAATAAATTTTTGTTCTGTAAAGTAAACTAAAATACCTATACACTAAAATCTGTGCACATTTCAATTTTGTAAGCAGCTCTGAGAAGTATCGAAATTACTATGAAGATCGCTTTAATAAGTTGTCTTTGAGAACGAATCTAAAAAATAAAGTATGTTTAAGTTTTATGCTTCCCAAACTCACTCGCATAATGAAACGAACATAAGTTGTGGAATATTTTAATTTGATTTATAAAATGAATATTTTCATTATTTTTATAGAACTTTTTTATTTTTAAGTCTCTGGGTGAGAAGAAAGCAGCTATGAGCCAATCAAGCACTCACAGAAGATTGTTAAAAGAGCTGGTGTAATCATTCCAAATTAATTTTTTTCTTTATTTCACTGTTTTCTGTGTTAAAGGTAATGTCGTCATATGAAATTACCAAACCAAATATTTGACATTCTTATTATTAGCAAAAAGATTCAATATTTTTAGAATGCAGTCACCTTCACATTAAAAATTTGAAAAACACAGCCAGCTTTCCAAGATTTTGATTGTTAAAAATTGATTTTTATGGAAAATAAGTGTGATATTCAGAAACAACATGCAAAAGTGTACCCAACACTTTATTTTTGGTGTGAAATATTTCAGACGTGGATGTACCTCAATCCATACTCACACCCTAGCCTAGAGTTGAATGATAGATATTCTGGAAAAAAATCTCATTTGAAAGAAAGAAAATTGAAGGACTTATAATGGACATACTGAGATCGGCATTCACTCTGTTGCATCTATCGGATAGTAAACATTGAAGATTGTGAAATTCTATTAACTGTTTTGTAAATAACATGTAACTTAGAAATAAGAATGAAATATCAAAAGTTTCTTTCTCAAAATACCATACACATAACAGTGTTGAAACAATAGATAATCTCTAAAAGTTTTTCGTGGAGTAAATCAACTCATCTGAATACGCTCATGTTACAATACTAATTGATTTAAAAATGCAACTAGAACATATTAATAAGGCCAAATTAGCTCGATTTCATCGGTTACATGTCTTTTTCATGAGAGTTTTTTTTTTTACTTGAACTAATTTCAAAAAGATTTTCCCTAGAAAAACAAATATGTCAATCGATGAAATGCATTCGATAGCTCTACTCTTTCACCAATACTCATGTAGAAAAACAATAGACAGTCTTCATTGATGTTCAAATAGTTTTTGCAGTGCTGCTTCATCATTAACATACTTCTATAAGAAGTTCTTCACTGCACTGCTTTGCTGATTTTCTAACAGTGAAATTTATATCATCTACTATCACAATTTTCGATCAGATGTAAGCACTGTAAATGTCATTCAGTTTGACATAGTTGTTAGTAAAACTATTTTACGTGTAAGAGCTGCTTCGACCAAAGCCTTATGTTTCCTTGTGTTTTATTATTTGTAACCACTCTCGGTTTGCAAGTTTAACTTTATAGCTAATCTAATAATGTTAGAAATCACATATACATACTTGTTAAGTAATATTTGAGTGTACGAACTCTATTTTGTGCGCGTGCAATCGAGGGTGTGGGTGTGAGTAAAGGGAAGATCAACGCCCACATCCACCACACCCACACATTTTCAAGAAAAGAGATCGAGAAAGATTGATAACGTTTTTTCATTTCACCTTCGCTCAAGGTTGTTCTCCATTTCACACGACCTACATATTTGCACAGATATCTGCATGGTTGATGTGGTAGTTAGCAGGCAAATGCCCTCCGCTGTATATCATCCTCGTCTAAGTGATTAATTCATGACGATACGTAGTAAAAGATATGCCTGGATGTGCACTTGAATAACAGACTTTCCCAAGTCGAAATATCAGACATAAGGCTTGTGAGATCCGACGAGGGTATGGGTGTGGGCGTAGGGTGTGAATGGGGATGTGGATTAAGGCGAACAGCACACTCACACCCACAGTCGTACGCACACCCATCCATATCCCACTGTATGAAAATTAGACGGATGATACTAAAAGAAACATCATCATTTTTTGTAATACCGAAGAGATTACATAAATGAAACTTTAATAAGAAATCTTCTATAAGAACTTCACTTTTGATCGATAGTCGATGAAAATTTAACAAATAATCCTCGTAATTGATATTTTTTGCCTACGAATATGTTTTCAAGAACAAAATAAAACAAAAAGCTACTGTCCCCTACTCATATTTATTGACATTAACTCATTTTACTGTTCTCTATATCCATGTATCAACATGATATCTTTATTTCTTTTGGTTTCTTCTTTCACATTCTCAAGTATAAAGATATTGCTTATCATCAACATATTCAATACATGACAGCGGTAACGTCAAGTGTTCGAACAAAATGTTTTGTATGTGAAACAGAAAAAATCGTATATCAATGTGAAGGATGCTCAAACAAATTTTGTTATAAGGATTTAACGGAACATCGTCAAAGCCTTAGAGAACAATTGGTCCAGATTGACAATGATCGTGATTGTTTCTACCGAAGATTTGTTGCAGAAAAAGAAGATTCTATAAATCTTTTATCAATGCAGAAAATTGATGAATGGGAAGAAGATTCAATTAAGAAAATTAAACAAAGCGCAGAACAATGTAGACAAATATTAATTGAGCATAAAAATAAGTATTTTGAAATAGAAAAAAAATTATTTGAATTAACTGAACAATTAAAACAAAGTCACCAAGAAGCTGAATTTAATGAAAATGATTTACATCGATTCAAAACAAAATTAACAGAACTACTGGAAGAATTTGGTCAGCCGCCAAGCATTAGAATTCAACAAGATTCGAAATCATTTATAAATGAAATCTCAATTGTCATTTCATCTGGAATTCTGGAAGAAAATAAATTAAATCAAATAGATCCAAGTCAATTTGAAAAAAAACAAACAGAAAAGCGTGATCATTTTCAAAATATTTTCAATTCAAAAGATAATAAATCCTTTATGAATCAGGGTTCTACGATTATATCATCTGGTAGGTGTTATAATGACATGGAGATTTTACAGATTGATATTCAAAGATTGATTGGTTAATTATATTTTGTCAGAGAGAAAAATTCATCAATGTTGTAATTCTTTTATCAGAATTATTCTCCATACGAGATTTTTGAGAAATAGTTTTATCAAATCTATAATATGACTCCACATCTGTCATAACGAAAATGATACATGAAACATGTCGAATTCTCTTAGTTCAGAAAACTTCTAGATCTCGGAATTCACACATTTATTAAAAATAATCAGGTACACACGATCGATGTAAAGAATCGAGGACACTCTCAAAGTTCAACAATTCCAAGAAATCAAAAGAATTATCCCAACTTAAGACACCTTCGAAATTAAGTCGCTTAATAATTACTTAAAAGTCAAAATATCGTAGGAACACAGAGACCATAAGGTACATCTAAAAATATACCATAGATGTTACTAATTTCGTATAGCCAAAAATGGTATAGCTCGAAATACTTCTGTATCCTGACACTATCATGATATACACACATAAATATCAACAACTTGAATTAGTTAGTTATGAATGAAACATGCTTCGAGTATTCTGTAGATGAACATGATAGATCTAGAAACGAACAAATATTCACACAACTCTGTGTCTATCTGCACCCTAGACTAAAATGTGTCCCATGTGTCATCCTTTGTTACACACTGAAGTGCGCTGCGTAGTACTTGTTGCGATATATTTTGAAAACATGATCCGAATCCAGTCTTCAGAACGAGTATCATTTTCCTCTAGAAAGGAATAATTACTATTTTTCCAGTTTCATACAAGTTGGCGATACAAAGATCATAGAGATTCAGGAAAATAGACAGAAAAAGTCGTTCGTCAAAATTCGAAAAGGTCTGCAAAAGCTGTAGAATATTTCAACATAATCCGAGAAAAATCAATAATATTCGATCTGATTCGCGGAAATACCACTAGGACATGCTGAATTCTATCGAGTATTATTTCTTTCAGAATTTTCCTTCTTTCTTTGTTGTAGTTTTTATGCAGAATATTCCCGCAGATGCCAGATGGACACAGAAAGGGGTGACTATTGCTGGAGGCCATGGGCGAGGTGATGCACTTAATCAGCTCGATTCTCCTTGCGGTCTCTTTGTGGATGGTGATCAAACGGTTTACATCGCTGACACAAACAATCACCGTATCGTGGAATGGAAGGCTGATGCCAAAAATGGTCAAGTAGTAGCCGGTGGCAACGGACCAGGATATCGGTTGGATCAGTTAAATCAACCAACAGATGTACTCATAGACAAAGAGACTGACTGTCTAATTATTTGTGACAATGGGAACCAACGAGTGATGCGATGGTCTCGTCGAGATCGTCGAAGTGGAGAAACTATCATCGAGAATATTGCTTGTTTTGGATTGGCAATGGACGATCAAAGATTCCTCTACGTCTCTGATTGTTTTGATCATGAAGTGAGGCGATATCGAATAGGAGAGACGAATGGAACAGTTGTGGCCGGTGGAAATGGATCAGGTTATCATCTCAATCAATTGAGTCGACCAACTTATGTCTTTATCGATCGAAGTAATTCTGTATACGTTTCGGACTGGTACAATCATCGTGTGATGAAATGGGTAAAGGATGCGAAAGAAGGGATTGTCGTGATTGATTGTCGAGGTAAAGGCAAGTCTATGATGGAATTGTCGTATCCTAGAGGAGTGTTTGTCGATCAATTGAACACAGTTTACATGGCAGATTATGCGCATTGTCGAACGATGCGTTGGTGCAGTGAAGCGACACAGGGATATGTGATTGCTGGTGGAAAGGGCCTGGGACGACGAGTAGACCAGTTAAACGGTCCTGAAGGTTTGTCATTAGATCGATATGGAAATCTATATGTTGTCGACCACTGCAATCATCGAGTCCAACGGTTCTCAATTAAAAAATAATTCTGACTGTTTGCTCCTTAGTGCTCAACAAAGAAGTAAATGTTGTTTGCGATTATTCTACATGTATTTTTAGACAATAAATAGTTTTCTTTCGAAAAAAACAAATTTATGCAAAATCTATTCTTTCTATAAAGGCTGCTGCTTTTTTTGCACTTCTCGCTTCTCCCTTTTTGTTAGTATCTGCTGTCCGATATTCATATGTATTTATAGATGCACGTTCACAGAATTAGGGATCGTCGCTGTTCGTGGAAAGACGGCCGTCTAGCCATGAACAAACTAGACAGACTCACGAGATGAACTCTAGGATGAATATGAGCAGAAGATCGATAGAACTAAAAGGAAGTTTGGTAGAAACTCAATCAACTTAAATACAATTTGTTTCACGATGGTTTAATGATTTTTGTTTTTCGTAGCATTCTTTTCTATCATAAATATCATGCATTACAAAAGTGCTACGAATAACCATAACGATACTCATTCAGCAAGGAAGATCACTTGGAAAAATATCTTACCGTCAAAAAACAAGTATATAATATCTGTTCTCAACATAATATCTTTCGTTTAAGAAAAATCTTTGCTCGCTCTAATTATAGTTTTGAAGATACTAGTCATACGTCTCAAATAATATTTAACTTAATAAGAACTTCACATCTCTCAGTGAATCTCTAATCATAAAACTTTCTTGATAAGTCCTTAATAATAATAATAATAATAATAATAAAGTGATCGATACAAATGATCTACACCAAGTGATTTTTGTCAAGAGAAGAAAACTTTAAAATAATTAATAACAAAATTGAGAAAGATTGAGATGAATATCAAAAAATGTTCCATAGTGCCGTTTGATTAATTTTCCAGTGTTTCCAAAAGTATGATTGGCTTATTTTTATTATCTAAAAGAAACGCGAGTTTTTCATCAATTAATTCAATAAGAGAACTTGTTTGGATTCTCCTATCGGATTAAATTCTGCAAAGTTGATTGTTTTATGAAATAGTTTACATCTAAATGACATACTGCAACTCATTGTGATGGACTATCTCATATATAAAATCATATACTGTTTTTTTAATATCATCTGATATCATTTACATCAGATTGTCATTGTGAAACAGTATCGATAAAATAATACGTAACTGATCCTATTTATGCTTAGAAATTTTTTATCTGATAAAAAAACACGAAAAACAGATGATGATAATAGAACATTTTTTCTTGTTTAGAATCTTCTAATAATCTCTTCTTAAATCGAATATTTCAAAAGAAATTCGTATATTATTGAATATTGCTTCTTAGAATAAATTATTAAATATAAATGAATCTGTTAAATATGATTAAATGCTATAAATAAGTTGTTTACTTTGTAAAGACGAATAAATCAAAGTTAGCAGAATAAAATCCTGTAGTAATAGTGTATTCGATTTATTAGAGAAAATCATTGCTTTGTACATACCTTAGATTTGTAGTTTAAATCACATTCAACATTTTCTCGAATCATTCGAAATGCTCAACGAATCATTCGATAATTATATTCTTTCGTTAGATTATCAAGAAAAATCTCGCTCGAATAATTGAATAGTAGGAAGAGTAACCATATCGGTTTATCCATTCTAACTATAGATTGTTTAGGGCACTTTATGTAGATGTGACGAGAATAATCGTCATTTACAATAGTTAAATAAGAATAAATGTCATTGATTCAAGTGATGAATAATCATTGTTGTGAATAAACTCTATTACAAAGTGTTTGTTATCAGTTTTTTTTGTCTAGACATTTAATAAATAAAAAGTAATTTGTTGTTTATTATTTAGTTTCTAAAAAAAAACTTTTAGATATATGATATCTAGTAGAAAATCTAGAAATATTTAAATAAAAAGATAAGAAAAAAAACAAAGTCCATGGTATTTAATAATATTCACTAATTTTAAAAATAAAAAATTGTTTTAAATATTTATCTTAATATAAAATTGATACTTTTTTTTTTAATGAAATCATCAAATAAATGTTAAATTAGTTTGATGATATAAAGAAATTCATTTTTTATTATTAAAAAAAAAGAAAAAAAAGTGCTTAAATAAATAAGTTAATGATTAGTTTAATGGATTTTGTTTAACTAATTGGCTAATTTTTGTCATTTGACAATCAGATGATTTGGTTGATGTATGATGTAGTGATGGATTCTGATTTGAAGATTGATTAGAAATAAATATTGTTCTTTTTGATATACGTTCATTATTATCATTTTTTATTTGTTGATCATCTTCATCAAAATGAAATTCTTTATCAGATTTATTTGATCCAACTTTTTCATAAAGAGTTAAATTAATTTGTGTTTTTATTTGTGTTCCTAAATGTTGAATTGCTGAATCAGTTGAAATTGAATTTATTTCATTAACAATTGAATCAATTTTTTCTGAAGCTGCCCTTTCTTCTTCGGACATAATTTGATTTTTAATTGAATTAGCTTGTTCACTAACTGCACGAATTTTAAGTTGTGATTCATTAAAAATTTGTAAACGTTGTTCTTTAAGTTGTTCTTGTATTAAAGCTAATTGTTTAGCTCTTTTTTCATCTAATTTAGCAACAAATTCTTCTAATAATAATCTATATTGTTCATCTTCAATAATTTGTTGTTCTTTAGCTTGAATTAATAAATCTTGTTGACTTTTTTGAGTTTCTTGAACAATTTGTGCAAGAACTGATTCTGTTTGTGATGTTATTTGTTGAATTCGACGTTGAACGGTTTGATCAAAATCTGTATGAGTTTGTTTTAAATTATTCATTAATGTATCTAATATTTCTGATGTTGATAAATTATGAATTGATTCAAATTGACTTGTTAATTTTGATTGAACTTGTGCTGATTCATATTTACTTGAATGTTTTGTTACTAAATGTTTATTATTTGTTTCTTTTTGATCATGTTCAATATTTGTTGATCCAGATTTAATTAATTGTTCAAACTTTGATGATAACTATATATATATATATTAATAAATTTTATTTAAATCTTAACGAATATATTCGAATATTATATTTTGTCTCTTTCATTTACTGCATCTCAAATATTATTTTACTATCGAATTATTATTTAATAAATTGTTTAGAAAAATCTTTAGACTTTTCTATTTAATCTATATTTTCGATCGATTAAATAGAAATATATAAAATGACGTTTTAACATAATAATCTGTTCATTATTATTTCAAAATTCAATTTGAAATTTCTAATAAAATGATTAAAACAATTAAGCTAAAGATAATATTTTATTATCATTATTTTGACAAATCATAAAATGATTTGTGAATTTGATAAAATTTGTTTGTTTAAAAATAATAGTCATCTTAAATCAATATTCATATGTAATCTTATTTATTATTTCTATGAGTACTTAATGAACTCAATGAAAAAAACAATAGCATCAGTATATTCTCATTTCTAATAAATGACTAATCAATAATTTACAATTAGAATAAATTTAAATTCTCTTCGGACACGATTATATTACATGTAGATAAATAAATTGTTGTGACATTATATCTATAGAAATATGTTAGAGATTCTAAGAGGAAAGACGTATGAATTTGCAATAATCTTTGTCGATGTATTAGAGTTCAATTAAAATAGATTATTTTATAAGATAATATTCTTTACTTGTTTACTATTTACAAAACATTAAAACTTTTCTAAATAATCATCATATGATAACTGTCGAATACACGTTTCTATAAATATTACCAATTATTATACGATTTTATTAAATGAACAAATTTTTAAACAATGCTCTACGATTATAGGACAGAAAGATAATTTTAGCAACAAATAAATAATTATTTGTTGAAGACAAAACAATGAAATTCTCCAATGAACTATTATTTAAACTAGAATATTGAAAAATTTGTTAATATAAACGTCCAATAAATTTAATATTTATTTTTGTAAAGATTTTTATAGAAATTCTATTAACAAAGCAGAGCCAGTTTGCCTGAGAGTGATAATTGAATCTTGAAAGGCATTCTTTTTATTTTGATATAGTTATAATCTATAATATACGATCATTTGAGAAATTCTGTTATTTAAACAAATCCTTGTCATTGCTCTTCCTAAGTATGCTGATTTTTTTCTAATAACATGCACAACTTCGAAAAATTCTTTTTATCGTCTTCATACACGCACATCAATTTTTAACATTTATATCTGAGTTATATGTGTTCTATGAAGATGCTAATATAGGACTTAAAATATCTGTAAGAATAATAATCTCCATGATTTCTCATGTTTTACTAAAAACAAAAAAAAACTCTAAAAATAGTCTTTCAATCGATCTATTAGAGACACAAACTTCGATTGATCTATTCTTTTGTCTTTTTATGAAAAATTAAAAATATTTCAAATCATTTACTGTTATTGTCTATCAGATGAATAAGGCTTTTAAAAATATTTTCAGAATAAACTTTTTTGTTTTTGAAAAAAATCCTGCTAATAAACACATTTCTTAAAAGGTTTCCTATTTGATTGCCTAATAAGATATATATATATTTCAAACCTTTCCATTTGATTCCCATATAGATGTGTATTGTCCTAAACTCGAATTTGGTGGTGAATTTCGTTTATGTCTTTTCGGTAACCATGGTGACGGTTGAGATGAATATGGTCTTCGAGTATAATTAACAGATCTTATTACCACTGGAGGTGAAGGTGTTCGTGTTCTTCCTTGTGATGCTGATGAAACTTGAATTTGCCTATTGACTTTTCTATTACGACTTAAACCGGAACCCATTTATAACAATTACACTTTTTAATAATAAATTATTGCAGCACGATTTCAATACCTAATTTAATAAGAAAAAAATTTTTTAAATCAACTTTACTTTAACAGATCAAAGAAAGTACTAGTCAAATACGCTCTCATCCATTCTCAATGACGTTTTATTTCGGATTATAATTAATCGATAGACCATAACAATCAACACCTATGATGAAACCCTACTCTCATCCATTTGGTTAAAATACCCTACCATCAATAATTCAAAAACACTTACCATACTGCTACTCTCATCTATTTTTTTATACAATAAAATCAAGATCCAAGAATAAAAAGATTCATTTAATGAGTTATTCTATACATCTGAATCTGTGAGACTAAGAATCATATTGATTGATTGCATTCAATAAATTCTTTGTTTTCTCTCACAACTATCTTTTTATATATTTTATAAATCAAGCACATTCTGCATATTTATCATTTAGTTGTTCATATGTCTTTTGTTTTACTTCTTTTCTTAATATTATGTCTTTTGTTCTATATTCATTTGTACACAAAGAGTCTATTGGCAACAGAAGAAGACGAGTACAATAAGGTGATTACTTCTAACGGATTTTAAACACTATTAAACATAACATTTTCGAATGAACTTATTTCTATGTCATCATGTAGTACTCTGTCAATTCTACTTACAATGTAAAAATCAGAGCCTTTCAATGTTCTCTCCAACAGATATGACGACTGTAAGTTTTTGTCTTTTCCCAGTACTCAGAAAAAAGATGAAGTCGTATGGTCTCTACTTTTTCGAGAGAGAGAGATAACATTCAAATGTATTCTAACTCTAAAATTTTTATTTGCCATAGTCTGGCATATCTGCATAAGTATCGCTGTGTAGTATAGGACAACCTTGAGAAAAAAAGAACTCGTGAACATATGAAAAAAACTTAGCCCTCAAAAATTGGTCTGAAAAAGTCTTTCAAGCCGAATTTGAGAGTGTGAATGCGAGTATGGATCATGACATTCTTTTTTTTTCACCGACACCTACCCACACATTTTCAAATAAAGAGCTATTATATGCAAGAATACCAGTTAACAGCAAGGATGTACCGAGCGTGGTTGAAAGAGTCGAGCGGTTGCTCCTGCCCAATCTTGAATAATTTTAGCTGTTTCCCGGCGAAACTGAACGATTTTCTTCGTTGCTTTCTCACCAATCCCTGTAACAAGGATCAACCTCCCTAAATGTCGCGAATCCTCCCTTCTTAGTAGTTGCCCCTCCGTCCAGTTTTGGTGATTTCGGACCACTCCTGGTTAACAGCTTGTGTTTACTGTAAATTCTCTTCGCAAAAGAGTGACAAACTAATTGAAGTATCTTCAAGTGAAAATTAAAGTCTGAAAAAGCGACTGAGTCATTGTGATTTGACAATGATTTTAAGTATGCAGAGAACGAACTATTCCTAATCAATAAAGATTCTCTGGAATCTGTCATTATTGTGCGTTACATGACGCCCTAAACTGTTAGTTATCAGGTCCAAATATCCGATATAAAATTCAATAAAACTTTGTAAGATCGTACTCTTAAAACTATTACAAGACGTTAAATGATTCTTATTATAAGACTCAAATGGAAATCTTACAAGAATTGTAACACACAAAACATAGAATAATAGTTATAACGACACCAACCTGATCATATAAGATCAGAAAGATTCTATCACTAATGAAGCATACAATAAATCAAACAATACAAAATTTTAGATAATCATGCAGAATCAGATATCTAAATCTGTTCGACACTACACATCTATCAAGTTCTTTCAAATTATTATACTATAATTGATAATTTCTAAGCTTAAAATAAATTTTATTCATTATAATAGCAGAGATCTATTTATTTCATTGTGTATAAATACTTCAATCGACAAAGACAAGACAGTTATACTGCTTAACTGTGCATCAACTTAAATACAAATATGTAGTCATATTTTGTGATATACATTCACAAAGACACACAACGATAAAATTATACTTTATAAGGATAAAATGCTAGTACAACAGTAATACAAGATACATTTATCTGATCACACATAACTATTGCTGAGAAAAACCATAAATTTGATAATATATGTATAATTACATACATGTAATTGTTTTGAATATTATTTCAAGGATATAATTACATAAAAGGCATAGTCATAAGGAAATAGATATAAGGGATATAAGTTTATGAATATGGGAATAAGAATATTACCATATAGATATAGTTCTACGGTCTGTGTCTAAGGACATTGTTTCAAAAGTAAAGGCATTAGAGTATATCTATATCAAATTATGGAACAATAGTTTCAAATATTATCAAGATGTACATATTCATGGTGTTATTAGCGATTGTATTGTGTAAAAATATACTGAACTAAATTCTTAAATTATTTATAAAGAAAAGCGCTCAAAGTTGTAAGAATTAGTATAAAAAGACGAAGATATATAATGCAGTATGATAGTACGATCTTCTATGATCATACAAGAACGGATGGTCGAATCTTTCACATAATGTTATTTATGGCTTATTGTGAGTTTTTTTCAGATGACGATTTTTCATATGATTAGCGTATGATATTGTGCGCATATGTAAGATAAGAAAATATGATCTTGTAAAGATCTATTTTGAGAGAAGAAAAACTACATTAGAAAAATAGTTCTTCGTTAAATGAACGAGTTATTTCTATTTGAGTTAATGATTTGTGAGAGATTGTTGTCAAAAAATATAAGAATAAATATTGTCAATATGAAATCGATCGATCAATAGATAATTTGATTGTTTATCATAAAATATTTCATTGTTTTACTAAAAAATAATTTAAATAAGATGGTTACTAAAGGATGAAAAAAGAAATGATTCAACACAAATTTTGAGTAAAAGAAAAAATGTGTAACAATGAATAGAGAAGACATAAGTCAATACTTTTTCTTTTTTAAAATAGTTCAATTAACGAATAGGTTAAATGACATGAGTACACATGCCTAAGGGGAGAATCAATCATTTTATTCATACATGTTTACTGAATGACTAACAAACAAATATTGAAATATTTATTTGTTTCATTTTTTTATGATGAATATTTTTCAATCAAACTAATCATAATTAATTAAAAATTTTCATTTCTATTATTATTTAAAAACTCATTTTTTTTTCTTATGAAAATATGACTTTTTTTGATCAGATTGAATTATTTCTAAACTATAAAGGCAAACGAAGAAAATGTGTCATTAAAAATGTAAGATGATCTTATATTAATTAAAAAATTTATTTTTTTTTAAATAATTCAAATTGATTACCGTTAATAGTGATAAGAATAAAATAATGTCAGTTAAATATTGTTCGTCTATTTATTGTCTGTTGTAAAATACATCAATAGAATCAACGTAAAAGTGATTGTTTGGTAATCACTATGGGAGAACAAATGAATTCGATTGTCATGAAACAACCTATTTTTTAACATAACAATCAAACTAAAAGAACAAACATTATTTCGTTGTCTTTTCTTTTTTTTTGTTGTACATGTCTATTACAACTTGGACATTTATTCAAAATGACAAATTTTTCTCATCTTATTTCTATAGTTAATATTAAAATATTCTTATTAAATTATCAATCAAGTTTATTTAAATTAATTTCTTATCATTAAGAAAGTTCTCCTATGAACTGAAATTCAATTGCTAGTAGAAATAGATTATTTATCTCAATTTTTTTTTAAATATTTCTATGATCACTTTATTGTCAAATTGACAAAAATCTTCGATTAAATAATCATAAAGTTAGTTTGACACCTCAAAGTTTCGAGGGCAGAGGGGGAATACTTATAAACTCTGTCGAAGAAGTTGATGATCTTTAATGACAAGGGAGATGAACAAGACTTCTAATGGCAGAATCGTCATGTTTCACAGATTATTTTCAATAGAATTTATACCAGTTTGAGAAGCTTGAAAAAATCCTTCCCAATGCACTATCCTTATCGAGTTTTGTGTACATTTTAATAGATTTTCAATCATTGAGCAAGGCATAAACAAAAAATACGATTTATGAAATTTTTTACGTGAAAATCAGTCTATAGATAATTCTAATATTCCTAAAAATATTGTAAAGATTTCAGCTAAAAAAATGCTTTCTTCTCAAAATATTCAACGGGCAAAAAGGGATTATACATCAAGAGGAAAGGGCGAAAGGTGAAAATATTTTATTTCTCTTTTTTGAATAACGTTCTCAAAGGGTTCTTTATTGATTGCGTTTCCACTTTAGAAATTATTTCTAAAACAAAAAACAACAACATTGACACAACAATAATCTTCGATGGGATAGGAGACGTGACTAAGCAACCGAAGAAAATCTCAATTCGGATGCGATAAAAATTGTAAATTTTCAAGAAAAATCGTAGTATCAATATTAAATAAGTGACAAGGATGTCACTGTATCAAGTGTAGCTCCGCTTATTTCATTACTGGACAATAAAGAAAAAAACAAAACATACAGGAATTCCTCTTTAGTTTTATGTATTGCACAAGACAATATGTTTTCTTTGTCGTTATCTTTCCTTTTATTTATTACATAAATATCCGCTGTGTATCTACTTTTTCATGTATTAACTAGTCAAACATGAAAGAAGATTTTCTATAATTGTCGTCGCCTTTGTCCCTTCTTCGATCAAACCATCATTGAATGATCATTTAAATGATAGGTCAATTTCACAATGGATCAATCATTAGAGGTAAATGTGAATCTATACAAAGGTGTAAGAGATACGATTATAAATGGATGTACACTTACGTAATCCATCAAAAACCGATCATTGTATACGATGGAATATGTTCAAACATAAATAACGTTAACAACGAACGTAAAAGACTATAGGACACGATCAGATTTTGTCGTAAGTTAGTGGTGAGTTGCGTTACACTTATCGAGCACAGGACTCTTCTGTTTGGAATTTAGCAACCAACGCAATGATAACTTGTTTTTTTTA